TGGTGAGAGCTGCCGGCTCCCGGCGGGTCTCTGCACTCCCCTGTGGGTTCCCCGGCTCAGGAACCCCCCTGTACACCGTGGTCCGCTGCTCCGCTGCAGGACGCACCTGCGCCGGAGCTGATCATCACCCCTGCGAGTGAAAAGGGTATAAAAGAGCAATAACAGCGCTTGGCACTTGCTTTATACCTGGCATAAATGTCTGCAATATTAGCAAGCCATAGTCTTTCATTTTACATCATTAGGTGTGAAACTGAGGCGTATATTCTAACGTATGAGCACATCCGAGATTTCACCAGCTCTGTACGGTCAATACACGCTGTGTTTCCACTGACAAGTCAGGGAAATCATATGAAGAAATAAAAAAATATTGCTCCCTGGCAAGATTTGTGATACTGTGTGCAAGCTGCCCACAGGCTTTTAATTCTAAAATTGCACTACACAAGTTTGAGTATATGCCTTTCTGAGTAGAAAAGTTAGATGTGAGCCTGTTTTACTAAATTGTTTAATAAACAGAGTGAACAGTGGAACCTTCTCCCAGGGATTCTGAAGTTTATTGCCTGTGCAGAACTGCCTTTGTAACTAGCAAAGAAATCAGACCACCATTCACCAACGTACAGTTGCAGACAGGATGGGCACCTACCAGATGTTCTGCTACAGCAGGTCCTGGAAGTTACTCTCTTCTTTCTCCGTCACCGGCAGCGTTTTTCAAAAGTGCCAGTTACAAGCCAGTGAATAGGATCAAGACCAAACTTTTCTCTATTCCCCCCAAAACTGCAAGGCCTACAGTCCCTTTTTCTCTTCTTTCTTTCTCCACTTCTTCAGGAACATCATCTTAAAATAAAACTTTATATTACAATGCAAAGTGGAAAGCTTGCTCTCAAGCCAAGTGCCTATTTAATAAAAAAAAAAAAACAACAAACCAAAACCACAAAAAAACCCCAAAAAACAGCTTTACACGAAATGTAAATAAGCTAAAAAATCTTCACCTACAAAACCTCTATTTTCAAACATCTAAATGTAATTAAGAAAATGGGAATATTTATTGCAGTACAAAATACAATAGGCTGATGTTTTGTAATCAGAGGGGGTCCTCTGGAAGTTCAAACATCAGGTTAATGTTTCAGCATTTTGACTCCAGCTTTTCCTCTTTCTTTAGCACTTGTTTTTAATGGATGATGATTACCTAATAATAAGGCTAGTTTTATACGTCAAAACTTTTTTTTTTAAATTAGATGAAACAAAATAGATAAAAGACATTTTTTGGTACACAAACACTGTTGATCTACATCAGCTCTTACTGCTACCTACAAATCTTGTCTTATATTCATCCTCAGACATCATGCATGAAATTCTCTGCATATCTCCTTAATTAGACTTTTTAAGAAAAACTTTTGTGTCTGGAGAACATATTCTTACTTTTTGAATCATTTCCAGCCTTCATTCGTTCCTTCAGTACAAATCAGAATTTCCTTGAAACTAAGCAGATTCACAAACTTCTTCCCTACTTTTCCTGTTTTCCTGTCACTACTCTTCTCCCACGAGAATGCCTTTGCTTAGAGGATCCATGGATTCTCCCGTCCCCTGGCTTACATTCCAGATACATACTTTACCGACAGCTGGGTCCAGTTTCATCCACAGTCCATCCACCCAAGTCGCCATGTAAAAGAAGCATCTCAAAAGAACACCTGGCCTGCAATGCCTGTATTTTTACAGTGTAGTAGCAAGATTCCCTTTACACTGACATACGAAGTACAGCGTTTCTTATTCATCATTTTAAAGTAAATGTAAATTTGTGAGACAGTAACCAAAAGAAATACACGCCATCTAAATTGCTTGACATTATCCAGTATGCTAATTATCATACCACATACAAATACGCGTGATTAACAATTAATTTCTACTTCTAACTATAACTGAGACGATATACAAAATAAAACAAGCTAAAACAGCATACTGCATCTGCAAGATTTTTTTTTAGTAGTATTATTTGTGAAAAAGTAAACATTCAGTTTAAATAAATATAAAAATAAACCTCCAGTATGCTGAGTACTGAGGAGTCAGTAAAAAGAGTAACAATTTTGCTGGTAAGTTACTAGTTCTAGATTCCCCAGCCTTGCATAGCTTTGAGAGAACAAAAAGACAACATGGAATTAATACTTTTTAAATACATCTCTGTAAATAACATTTAGATCTCAAAGTGAGATATTTGACAATGTGTCAAGAGTCAGCTGTAATTCATATTTGCCTTTTTTTCTCTTAACTTTCCTAACCAGGATCACCTAAAAAACATATTTTACTAAAACCCATTTAGGAGAAATCTGTGTGTTAAAACTGAAGTATTATATTTCACATGTACCAATTTTCTACTTGAATTGTTAGAGGAAAAAAAAAAGCACTGACCGTCAGTATATGTTAGTCTACGTATACAAAAAATATTCTGCTTTTTAACAATTTATATGGTGGCTTAAGAGAAGTGGTTATTACATTTTACCTATTTAGTATATTTCAAATAAGGGAGCTCCTAAAGCTTAAACTATAAGAGATAAGAACAAATGTCCTTCCAATTAGCCTTTCATACAACATTTCCCAATTCTTTTTACAGTAGTTTTTTATATGAATACGACCACAAAAAGCATTGAAGAATTAGGTCAGCCAAAAACTGGTTCTGCGCAATCAGCCCAACAGCAGTTCTGTTTGATACCAGTACTGACATAACAAGAACTGAGGCCTGAACCTTTCTCCCCTCAAAGTCAATGCATAAGTTATCTAACAGAGTAAAATCAGAAACTAAGTTTCATGCTTTCCAAAAGAGTTCTCTCTCACTAAAAAAAAACAAAACAAAAAAACCCCAACACTTACCAGACAGACTTCAAAAACAGATTTTATTTATTAATTGAAAAAAATGCACATTGAACTGGATATTTGGAAATTAATCTTACATTACTGAAATGGCTTATGAAACATTTTTTGAAAGACAAAACTGGTAGTTAAGCGTAAAAGCCTAACTCTATCACGCTTCACGGTTTAGCTTTAACTGTAATGAGCGCAGGAGGTCATTGCAGTTTTTAAGTAATTGATTTGCATTTTACAGGTATATAGGTCATTATTAATTTATTAGCACCTCAATCAGAAGTTTAGGTTCTATTTTATAATAGTTATTTATACAAAGAAACATGGAATCAATACAATATCCTAAAACTAAAGTGCTACTGAGGCTGTGTGGGGCTCTGCTAAAAACAATGTAAACAAATTAAAATAGTACAGACAAGTTTTATAAATTACTGAGTTCTGTAGCATATGGAATACACCCAAAACAATTCTACAAAAACATGAATCAGATTGTAAATCAATAAATAAGCAATACGTTAAACAGTAGAATCTCCATAAAATACTGAATTATTGTCTCCATTTTGAAGAATGGAGGCAAGCACTATTAATAGCTAGGAATTCTCATGTAAAATACTAGATCCCTCCTGAGACCTGTCTGTGAAGCAAAAGGCTTACATTATTTATCTGGTGGTGGTTTTTTTCTCCTCCGACATAGCTTAGCATCCTCTTGCTTCTGCAACAGTACAATTAAAAGCCTTCCTCCGATTTCAATGATACAGTGTTATTCTTCAGCCAGAGCCAGATTTAAACAGACATGAAAACACAGAAAAAATTTAAGGCAACCTCTTAATATCCAAGTCCAATCACGCCAACAAGAATGCTTTCGCTCCAAGCTTAAAAACTACTTTAAATTAAGTACTGATTTTCATTCTTTGGGACTCCTTCCTCCACGGACTCCGTTACCCACAGCTCAGATACGATTTTAAATTTTTTCCCAAATGTTCTCCTGAGTGCTTTCACCTCTCTTAGCCGGGAATGATCTTCTCCTATAACAACATGGGAGATGCCCTCTTCAAGGTGAGAGACTACTTTTGCACCATAAAAACGGAGCTCCAAAGCTCTAATTGATAGTGTTGTTCCATGGATTCTGGTTCCGGGCTCATTAACAACAGCGTAACAGTCCACGTAAATAGTGTTTCCTCTGAATATACTGAGCGGACAACTGTTCCACGAGTAACGTTCTTCTAACTTTACGATCATGTCCAACGGCATCACCTTATTGTCTTTCATTCTCGAGAACACTTCCTTGAGTTGTGCAACATCTGTGTCTGCTGTGTAGCTGTCTCCATAACAATCATACTCACGAGCAAAATGTTCTTTTGTGTCAGGAGACATGTGAATCATACAGGCTGGCTGCCAAGGCACCAGCATTTTGGTCTGAAAACACTGAAGGAGCCACTCTGCCCTCACCACATCGTATTTGTTGGAAGCAATGATGTTTTTCACTCTGACATTCTCAGCCCCTACAATGACACAGTAAGTCTCCGGCCCCGGGTTCTGTACCACGCTGCCACCGCATTCGGCTATTCTGCTCTCCAGTTCAGACTTTGAGTATTTTCCCATTCCTGTCATAACACAAAACTCAACATCTTCAAATACATTTGAAACCTTGCTTACATTAGAAAGATCAGGAGCTTTAAATTGCTCAGCTATCCCAATTATCTTCTTCACCTTTGACACAGTTTTCCTTTTTTTCTCTTGTGGCTCGTCATACTCATCTATATGAAGGTGCTTAGATGCCAGCTTCCCTTCTGCTTTGCTTCTGAGATCTTCTAACATGTCTGAAGTCATGCACTCGTACCATTCTTTGTCCTCTCTTATCTTCTCAATTCGGGGGAATCTCAAAGTACAGTCAGTCTTGTACATGTCACTGCTAACAATCTCGGCTGCCTTGACCTGAACTATGACAGAGTTGCAAGGTTCAATGTACATTTCAGGTTTTTCAGTTCCACACAAAATGTTACAGGGAGGGTCCTTCCTATGGTAGGGCTTCCAGTGCTTAGCCAGTTTCAAACCTAAATCATACAATTCCTTCATGGTATAGCCAGAGCCAACACGACAAATAGAGTGGAAAACGGTAGGTTTTTCATTTGGAGGAGGCGTCTCTGCAATAGCGCACAGAAAATGAGACATCATTCCACCACGTGAGCCCTTTCCCCAGTAACCACCAACAATTAAAAGGTCTAGTTCATCCATCAGCCCATTGACGTATTCCGGCTTGATTTTTAACCAGCCTTCCCCACGTTTGTCAGGCTTGTAGGTGGACGTGGGGTCTTTCACCATAATCCCTTCCTCTCTGTTATCTATTGCCTCATTTAAAGCATCAATCACTTCTTTTCTCGTTCTGGCACTTGTTTTATGCACAACATGTATCCTGCCCGTTACCGGGGTAAATACACTACTTAAGATTTCATATCTTCTGCTTAGTACTTCGTGACCCAACTTCTGATCGTTAACCATCAATACATCGAACACACAGAAGCACGTCTGCAGATCAGAGTCCTCCACCATTCTTTTGATGTCAAATCTGTTTCCTTTTTGCATAAAGGTTTGCGTCTCCGGATTGTAAGCCATCATTTCACCATCGAGAATGCAATTTTGTACATTGCTTTTAAATACTTTATGAATAAATGGGGTTAATGAACCGTCAAGGGGGGAAGCACCGAACTGCTGAGTATAGTCGAACCCATTTCGGGAAAAATATTTATACACGTCTCCATCTTTGTGCATCTGCATACGTTCACCATCCAGCTTAGTTTCTATGTAGAATATTTGGTTATTCATTTGTTTCTCAATTTGCTGGACGTCAGCAATAGCAGCAAGCATTGGTTTAAAGGCAGAAAACAACATGATGGAAACATCACTGAGTGAGACAGAGGGATCGTGCAGTTGTCTGCAAACTTTTTCCAAATCAGTTGTGACGTTGTGCAATTCAGCAGCGTCAGGATGAAAAATGGAAAATATAGTTTGTTGACTAACACCAAGCTTTAGATCCTTTATAATCATCCGGATGAGCCATTTTTGTTCCAGTGCTGTGCTCTGGGTAATTAACTGAAGAAGACTTTTCTTTAACAGACCCTTGTTTTTAGCAGCATTATTATTAGCTATCGCATCTAAGTGATCATTGACTTGTTCTATTGTCAGTCTGCCTTGTTTTGGGCACCTGGGTTTTAACACAAAGTATGCAACCATTGCAAAATCTCCAGCATCTCCACATGAGCCAGCAGGTGTCCTGTAATTTAAAAGCTTTGCAGCATCTTTGCCACCTTTTGGTAAGTTAAGCAGTTCAATATACAGCTTCGCAAGCATAGTTTCTTTAATTCCATACGCCATCCTTTCTCTTTCCAACTGTGGAAGAATAAGCCGCATAGCTGGATAAAAAGAATCCGTGACGTCTTTCTTTTTTTGATGAAGGGCATCATGGAATTTTCTCCAGGAATCCAGGAATTCCTTGAAATACTTGGTTTTCTCCGGGCGAGATTTACACGTCTGTATTCGCTCCAGAGTAGAACACAGATCTGCGAAAGGGACGTGAGAGGCCACTGTTTTTTCAGAAGGCTGCGAAGCAGGTGTGGAAGCCATCAGAGTCCGTTTTTCACTAAGAACAAAGAAAGCATGTATTTGTAGAGAACGGAAACGCCAGCATGTTATTCTGTCTCGAAAAAAGATATTTCTAATTAGGATTTACTGTTTTTTTCTTATTAGGATTTAACTTTACTTACTTTAACTTACTTAATCTTTACTTAAGGGTGACCAGCTGGCACCACCATCCTTAGGCAGGGGTGAAACTCGGCAGCCAGGCTGCGACACTGCCACGCAGGCATCACCCAGGCGAGAGGACTAGAAGACAGGAGAAGGCACCGCGCTCCCCCCGCGTTCCCGCTGCTGCGCAGGCGGGAGCTTTCACCGCTCGGAGACCGATTTTCTCCGCCGCCCTCCCCCGCGGCCCAGCCCGCCCTGACACCACCCCGCCCTCGGCCCGCCCCTCCCCCGGCC